TAAATGGAGGTGTACGCTATAGAGAGTGTCCATTAAGAGAGACTATACTGTATACATGTACATTAGCACATACCAGTACATGTATATTATATATGTACATGTACATGTATATCAATGTACCTTGAATTCAGTCTTATATTCCCAGTGCTTGTTATCTTGTGTGGTGGTATTTTATTGAACAGTTCAACTGAATTGTGTACTAGTTCATTGACGTCAAATTTCTCGGGAAACTTTGACAAGAAACCGTGAATAGAACTCATCTCACAGTCCTGTTCCAGTACCTCAGACCTACGACTGTAATTAACTATTAATAATAGTTAATTAACCAGTTAGAAGAGAAAATTAAAAAATATTGCACTGGTAGGCACATGTACATATTGATGTCCCTATGCTGTGTAGAAAGTTTGAGCTGATTCCAACCTCAATTTTTCAAGTTATGGCAATTTAAAAAATAGGCCAAAATTTGAAAAATACCCAAGGCTATATAATCCATGGTTTTTTTGGAAAAATGGCTCCGAAATCACCCCAAATTTTTATTATATTTTCTGATACATATTGATGTCCTTATGCTGTGTAGAAAGTTTGAGCTGAATCCGACATCAATTTTTTGAGTTACGGCCATTTTTAAAAAAGGCCAAAATCTGAAAAATACCCAAGGCTTAGCCCATGGTTTTTTCCAAAAAAATGACTATAAAATCACCCCAAATTTTTATTATATTTTCTGATACATATTGATGTCCTTATGCTGTGTAGAAAGTTTGAGCTCACACAATAACCATTAATAACTATTATTAATAACTTACAACAGTGGCTACATATATTGGCATCAGTGGGTGAGATGCTAAGAATAGATCAGTTAGCATGAGGAGATCATCTCTATCATAGACCACGTGACTGTACCAGGTCAGGATCCAACTTAATGAGAAATAATACTCACACTCTGACCTATGGAGGAAGGGAATATGAGGAATATATTGTATGTATCATAATGGGATGGTCATTATTAGTAGTAACACATTATATTGTGTAATGTAGAAATGACTTTTAGATCAATGTATCTTAATAACTTTAAATCAAAAATAGTTCAAACTTTCTGCACAACATAAGAACATGTATATGCATCAGAAAATGTAATACAAATGGAGAATTTTCTACTTTTCATTTTTGGCAAACTTTGGCCCATGACCAATAGCAAGGCTGCAAAAGTCACGGCAGCCATTTTGTTTGGGGGTGAATCCTACTTAGTAACACTACCGCGTTACTAATGTAGGGACTTTGGCCCAATTTCGGAGCAACTTTTAAAATTTGTTAAAAATCCAATTTTGATCGGAATCAGCTCAAACTTTCTACACAACATAAGAACATGTATATGTATCAAGAAATGTGTAATAAAAATAGAGAATTTTCTACTTTTCATTTTTGGAAAACTTTGGGCCGTAACCTGGTACTAAGTTAAAAAAAAACAAGATGAAGTAGGATTCCAAACGACCAACGAAAATACAAAATGAAAATCCTACTCGTGATGCAAATTCTACTCTACATTGTATTTTTAATGTTATTATGTAAGAATTACGGATCACCTTGCAATGTAGAGTAGAATTTGCGTCACGAGTAGGATTTTCATTTCATATTTTCGTTGGTCGTTCGGAATCCTACTTCATCTTGTTTTTTTTTAATTTTTTATGTTCTTGTTTGTGTTGATTTTTAAAAATAATATTTATGTTGCAATTGTGATACTTGTTGATTTCACACAAACAATAATTTTCTTTATTATTATTATCATTGTTATAACAGTTATGAGAGACAGCATTGAATAGACATGCTGAAGGAATATCAACTATACTGATGACAAGTGAAACTAATACTAGTCTTGACACAAGTCCTTGTTCAAGAATCTGTGAGCTAAGAGTGTCCATCTTCCCTGCTATTCCTGTTCTTCCAGGCTGTTGTCAAGTTCATAATTATCATTGCATATCATAAGTCATAACATTAATTAATTGTTTGTTTCTTAAAATAAAATAAAATAACACACTTGATAAAACAGTAACATGTAAAATCAATACCTTCTTTTAGCTGGAAACCTCCACTAAAGTATTGCAGTAAGTTGATTCCAAGCATAGCTTGGTAAAAAAATAACTTGCTTCTTCCAGAGCTGCAGATCTGAGCATGAGCGACCACACCCAAATTTTGGAGCACATGGCAAGCTTCTTTAATTAACAAAATGGCGGCATGTAGCTAAGATGGCTCGATCCAGCAGTCATAGTATCACTTTTTCCTTACTTGAAGAATGATCTGATGGGACATGGACCTGCGCATAGACTGTTGGAGTAGATTGGTGTAAGAATTATTCTTGTAGCACCAACTGATACTGAGATACACACCGACAACTGGATTGACAGGACTTGATGAAGATGATGATGATGATGAAGATGAAAAAAGGTGGCTGAACAAAACGGCCGGTTTGCCGATTTTTGACTTTTCGCTTAGACAAAGTCTAGAGCCACGCTAGTTGTACCATTGGAGTCCTCTTGTCAAGATGAGGTCCTCTATAAGTCTGGTAAGCATAGGAGCTCGTTTTCCAGGTATAGCAAGGCTGCAAAAGTCGTGGCAACCATTTTGTTTGGGGGTGAATCCTACTTAGTAACGCTACCGCGTTACTAATATGCAGGGACTTTGGCCCAATTTTGGGACAACTTTTAAAATTTGTTAAAAATTCAATTTTGATCGGAATTAGCTCAAACTTTCTACGTAACATAAGTACATGTATATGTATCAGGAAATGTAATTAATTAATTAATACCTTGTAATAAATGATTCCAATTGGCTATCATTAATCCTCAGTTCCTTAGTACGTCCGATATCAGGATACAAACAATCCCTATGGTAACCATAACAACTACGACATAAAAAGTGGGTGGAGCCTTACCTAATATGGTATTGTACTAGTACATTCATGATGGCAAAGGTGATGTTCTCATTTAGTGGTAATAATAAAAATGTCAGTACTACATCATGAAGACCTTGATAGTAGCACAGATCAGTATGTGTCACTAATAATCTTAATAGAACTCTTATTAAACTGTCCTGTATTGAATTAATACGCTCTATCAATAATTCTATATAATTAATAATAATAATAATAATAATAATAATAATAATAATAATAATAATAATAATAATAATAATAATAATACTTTATTAAATAATACACTCCATTAATTATTAATTGTACCTTTAGGTAGGCAACGCCCACATCGATTAACGTCTAAAATAACCTGATTCTTATCTTTATGATCTAAATGAGAACCTAATAATAATAATAATAATAACAATTACATGTAATTAATATATAATGCTTTATATTTTGTTTAGTACATAGTCAATTAAGTATCATACAGCTGGAAATATTGGTCCGAGTTAAATTTAACAATTAATTTTACAAAATTTATTTTTGATGTATTAGTGACTTAGTATCATCATGTCATTGAACATGTAAAGAAATGAAACAAAATGGAGTGTATTTTATATTGACAGGTGCTCATACAACACCCACTCAACCAATATTAATGCACTACCAATATCACCAACTACACTGTATAATATATTATATATGTCACATGACATTAGTGTCACATGAGGCTAGTCCTTACATGATGGTATGTTGTATATGTTGATTCCTAATAGTTTGGTCCATGCTCTCCTCCTCAATTCATTACACAATAGACCTCCTTTAGTGAGAGCCTGTCCTCTTAATGATGTAATATCTACCGGATCTGAACTAAATGGGTCCATTATAGACTCATGAGACTAAAACCCGTCTACTATCTATGCTAAAACTTACTGTGTAAGCGGCCATTTTTTTGCCGTGGCCACAGTCCGCCACACCCACCTGCGTAAAAAGAGCGTGGGCGGATGGCTGCTAATGCTAAAGCCCAATATACACTGAGCAACTTTGTTGTCAGTACCTTTGATGTGGTGAGGCAACTTGTTGCCAGATGTTGGGAGTCTCTCTACTTTCTGCAACATGTTGCCCAGTGTTGCTCAACCACATCAAAGGCCTGACCACAAGTTGCCAGCAACAAAGTTGCTCAGTGTATGTTGAGCTTAAGGCTTCTTATTTCTCCAATACAACGTCAGGAGCTGAAGAAATGTGGACATAATAGCATAGATATTAGAAAATGTGTAAGATAATAGATAGTACAAGGATAAAAACAATTATAGGAACGAATTAAAAATTTTTTTGAAACTTTCTAAAAATGAATCAAAAAATGCTACTCAACTCCACTATTGGTAGTGGTTTGTGTGGTTGTTTTTTTCTGTGTCTATCAATTAATGTCTTCATTTGATCTTTAAGAGCATCCTCCAGGAAAGTAGCTATAGTAAAAAATGATAGGAATCCAGACTGAGTAATAATCTCAATATATTCAAGTGACGGATGGATGAAGATAGTTTCATACAAACGTCTCACTGGTTCTATCCAGTTAGGTTGAGATAACTTATCATTAATGTCTTCACACTCTATCCTCAGTAGTCTGATCATTGCATGCGACTGTAGCATATTAGTAACAGCAGGTAGTACCTGTTCATAAAACAATGGTGTCATTATTTGTTTCTTCCCTTCCTCACTACAGTTACTGTATGACTGATCTGGTTTAAAGTTCACTTTAAGTTCTGTGAGATTGTTCTTTTGAGAGATGACATTAATAAAAGTTCTTATCTCTTCATTTGGTGGAATGGCCGATACACTCAACTGCTGTAGACTGGTGTTGTGTCTGAGACCAGTTGTTAGGAAGGACAGGAATGAACTGGGAATGGGAATTGGGTGGGGAAGAATAACAAACTCCTCGTAAATGCTATTAATCTCAATGTTTTTCAGTGTTTGGTTTAGTGTTAGCATGTCTTGTAGACTAGTACCCACACTGCTCGTATATACTCTCTCCTTCCTTATCTCCACATTCAGAGCTTTAAGTGTAGCATTGGTTTGTAGAATGGTAAATAGTTCAATAGCACTCTCAGCTGTGTCTAGTGGTAAAGTAAGTGTATGTAGACTGGGATGAGAGAGAAATAGATGTGGTGGGTATGGATTATGTAGTATCAGACAGTGTAATCCTTTGATATGTGAAAGGAGTGATGATGTTATCACTTCACTATTCCTCGATGACCACCTTCCTATCTCTAGAGCAGTCAGTGGTGTGTTCACCTCTACTATATTCATAGATGATGGTAGGAGGTAATCAGGTATCTTCAGTGAAAGAGCTTGTAATGTGTCATTGTCCTTTAGTAACTGTTCTATTACTTCATCAAGTAGAGGAGGAGCAATTATAGGACCATCTATTGTTAATGATGTTATTGTTTTATTTCTTGTTACCCCTCTAATGACACTGACAATGGTACTTGCTATTTCATTTTTTCCACTATACCAAATCTTCATTTCTTGTAGTGTTGAATTCATTTCTATACATTTCTCAAGTTCAGTGCACTTGTCTGTGTAGTATGTATTGTCAACTGTTGGTATAGTAAGACTCATTATTAAGTGCAGTATCTTCAATTGAGGAAGATTGAGGAACTGTAACAATACAAGACAGGGAACATATTGACCGCTAGATAATTCACAGTAGCACTCCTGAATATTGTATAGAAGTGATGATTGTAATAATTTGTGTATTAATTCATCAGTGGGTATATCCAACTCTATCTCCAGTCTCTTACACTGGATCTGAAGTGAGTTATTGGTTAGTCCAGCAGTGAAGACTGATAGTGATTGTTTAGATACAAGGCCCAAATGCAACTGGTTCCATGTTATGTTGGAATTGTTTATACAATAACTGAGACACAACCAGTCGAACAATGATAATGATACTTTATATAGACACAGTGAGTGGCTGTTGATTGATTGTGCTAATACTTGACATAATGTTGTGTTCTGTGATTCATACTGGAGTTGAAGAATAATGAGAACTTCGTCAAAATCATCAGATCTGATATGCCTACGATTTCTCAATCTAACCTCAGGATTCTGATAAAAGTAGGAGAGATGACAAGTCTCAAATCCAAACATTCGTTTCCTCTTACACTGTAAGTCAAGTTGTTGTTTATTAAAATACTCTTGATAGCTCTCATGTTCAAGGTGAGTTAGACCTGCAACAAACCTCAGGCACATTCGAAAGTGATCATCATCAAAATGATCCTTAAACACTTCCTCTGTCTTCTTCTCATGCTTAGCTATCCACCATGCAGCTAGAAATTCCTGTATACTCAAGTGAAGGAACTGATACTTCTCCTCATCATATTCTATGAATGTTGTCATCAATCCAAGATAGTCTTCTTTGACTGCCTCACTCAGTAACTGTAGTTGATGTAAAGAGAATGTCATTGTTGTATTAGCCAGGTTAGTATAAGCTAATTGACACATCTCTTGTAAAGGTTTAGCTAATTGTGATGGTAATGAAGGAAGACTACATAAAGTATGTGGGTTAATGTCATGTCTCTTAACATGTCTTCTGATAGTTTGTAGGATAAAGTTCTCATACAGTTGAGTGAGTGTTGTTGGTAAGTGTCCTCCTTCCTTACAATAAACTAAGATGACCATGGAACAGACTAGTGGTACATAACACAATGATTGGACATCATTTCGTACTTTAAGATCATTAATGAGTTTCACTGCTAGTTGTGAGTCCTTACTGCTTTGAGTAGTTGTGAAATGTGATTTGTATTTTGCATTATATATTGATTTTATTCTTTCATCTTGTTCAGTGTTTTCATCCATGAGTTCTTTTGCTAGTTTTGTATCTTTTTGAAGTGTTTGTATAATCACTGTTGATATTTCCTCCTCAGAAAACCCAACAACATGAACATGTCTACTGAGAGTATCCAGTTTCAAAAGTGAAGAGGAGGCATAGCTACGAGAGGTAACAATTACTGAACATTGGTCTAACTTCTCTTTACAAATGATACTAGCAGCTAATGAAGACTGTCTGAGTTGTTCACTTAGTTCATCCCAACCATCAAAGATTATCAGTAATCCTTTTCCGTCCCTCTCCTGAAACCATTCAGGTACATTTTTATATCTATTAAGTTGACGCACAAACAGGTCAGCTAGTGTAGTAGCTTTAGCTATCTTGATATTCCTTAAAGGACAGTAAAGTACCAAGTCATACTGTTGGTGTACAAGTGGTCCATTAGACCACATGTTTAACAGTTTACGACAGAGTGTGGTCTTGCCAATACCAGGAGGACCATCTATTACTACTCTGAGAGACAGAGAACTGTCTGTGGGTTCAAGGACATCTTCAACACTTATCTCTTTGTTTTCAGTTAGTTTAACTGTTTTATCAACTTGTCCTCTTAGCAGATGCCAAGCTGATTCTGCTTGTGTGCTGGAGTCTTGTTTTTCTACTAGGGCTAGTCTTCCAAAGTAATCTTTTCCAATTCTTGGTGGCCAGTTTGTAGCAACAATAGGTTGGTGTTTGTAGAGTTTTCTCATATTGTCAGCATATCCTTGAATGTCATATGGTAGTTTTCCAAATGTAGTTCGTATTTTGTCATAAATTTTTCTAAATAATATTGTACTAGTGACATTGCCATTATCAGCTGTAGCACCTACAACTAAAGACAATCATTAAATATAATAATTATACCTGTATAGACATTAAATAATTTATTACCTCTTCTATTAGTAACTGGTGTATTCAATATGTTTTCAACTGGTGATGGTAGTACTGTATGTGCACTGAAATTATCAGGTATAGACTGACCTAATATATTGAGATATAATGACTATATTGATCACTGATAATGTACACACACACTCACCTAACTGGTGTAATATAGAGGTAGCAATATCTGTTAGTGTACAATGTTGTTGGTTTATTAATACATGGCATATATCAATAAGATACTGCTCTGGATTAAGAGAGGATTCCAACTGTTTTTCAATGACATTCATAAGGTTGGCAGCTTTAGTATAATTATCAACTGCTGGTACAAGCATTTCCCATTTAGTTTGCTGTGGTATCAGTTCTTTAGCATACAGGGCATATACTGTTCTTTGAATGTCAATAGAAATGCTACCAACAAGTTTATCAGAATGAGTCCTTAATATATCCTTTGGATTACCTGCAGTAGTGTATCAGTTAATGATTGTTGTATTAAGTGTATGTTTACCTGTTATAGGGCCAGGATTGAGTTCAACATCTCCTGATAAGAGGAGGAGGAGAAGTAAAACCAAATAGTAGATCAGGTCAGAGCTACTGCCAATAGAAGGAATAAAATTGAGCTTCATATATCTTAATAAAGATAAAAGAAGGGAAACAGTGAGAGACAGAGCTGCTAGCAGTTTAGATGTCTTTTCTCCTGATGTAGTACTGCCTGACTTGCTGTCTACTGTAGTTTTGAATGAGTGAGAGTGGTGGCCATTAGCTGGTCTACTGGAGGCAGCTTGACAGTAGTTCCACAGTCCAATACTTGCTCTCCATTGAGAGACATCAATCATCTTGTACTATAGTATGGAGGACAGTGAGAGAATTAGGTAACTTAAGGTATAGCTATTTCAGTGATCACTTACAACACTGCAGGGAATAAAGAAGGACTTTATAAAAGGAAGAAGAGATTATAAGACTGTAGTACTGCAAAGTAAAAATAACCTTTATTACAGTTAATCAAAGGAGCAAGCTTTCCCTGTAAACTGAAATGCAGCAGTACAGATGTACTACATGTACCAGTGTATAAAGGATGGGTGTATCAGTGTATGTGCGTAGACATCATGAAAATAATTACTAGAACACACCAATAACACTGAATATAATTAAAATA